CATGCAAAAAGTAGACAAATTCCCTTAACTCTAAACATTTTTCTGGCTTTCTAACTATGCGACAAGAGTCGTTACAAATTCATCCAAGATAGTTGTTAACTTTCTCATGGGAATGATGTTGGTACTCTGAGTGAAACTGACATTTAACCATTCAGAACATAGTGTTATACATTACGTCATTGGATAGATGAAAACCTTGACTTTCTAGTGGTTATAAATAATATATAATTAAACATAAGAGAGAACTATTTAACATTTAACCATTCAGAACATAGTGTTATACAATACGTCATTGGATAGATGAAAACCTTGACTTTCTAGTGGTTATAAATAATATATAATTAAACATAAGAGAGAACTATTTAACATTTAACCATTCAGAACATAGTGTTATACAATACGTCATTTGATAGATGAAAACCTTGACTTTCTAGTGGTTATAGATAATATATAATTAAACAGAAGAGAGAACTATTAACGAATTCTGAAAGAAAGGTTGTGACAGGGGGGGGGGTATGATTTTCTATTCAATAGCTCTGTAATCAAACAAAATTAAAAAATACTATAAAAGTTATGGTTTGTCTGAGCAATGATGATTTTATAGAGTAATTTATGTTTAATTTCGTACTTTTTCAAGGGGTAGTGGATAAAATAGGGAAGAAAATGGGTCACACTGGGGGAAATTAAGGATCTTTCTAAATATTGCCTTGTAGAATTAAGAACTTAAAACTTATGTACTATTAAAATATGGATTATTAGCCAAGATTTTATGCTGTTCTAATTGGTATAACATAAACAAAAAGTAGTTTAATAAAATTTTGAATGTAATGTGTCATGTGCAGTAAAGGATACCCATGGCAATGGGGTTAAACCCCTACACTAACATATTTGTGCTAGTAATTTGAAAGAATGCTTTATTCTTCTTTTAACTTCTCCAATGATATAAGTAATTAGTTGCTAAACTTTCATTGTTATACTAAACTTACAATATTTAATAACTGATTATTTAGGCTGAATTGATACCATGCTGCTCAAAATTAGACTTTGGATTAACTTAAAGAACTGGCTCAATTCGTTTGTGGAGTTTAAGGAAACATTACTAATTTACAATGTAGGTAAGCTCTGATTAGTGTGTTCAATATCCTTTAAAATTCACCTATTTATTTCCAGTGATTTACATTGTTTTTCTACACTCTGTATGATACACTGTTAATGTTTCAAATATCCAAAAATAATGTTTCCACCCACTTGATCTTTCATTCATACCACTCAAACACACACATATAATCAAGACTATATTAAATTCTGGAGGTATCCCATACATTATACAAACAGCTAAAAATTGGATATAAAGGTTAACACATGCATGAGTGTTGATGTTTCACCCAATTTAATTGGTGAAATGTTAACATCTATGCATGTATTTTCTTTTATATCCCATTTCTAGTTATTTAATTTTTTCATTATAATGAAGACTGATTGCTAAAACAATGCTACAGGTTTCCTACATAAACTATGGTAAATTGACAGTCTTAGATAATGAAAACAGTAAAACAGCATATTTCTGTTTACTTACCAGTGAAAACAAATTGAGAATCTGGACTAAAGGAAGCTTCTATAGACATTCCTTTTGTGTTCATGTGTCCCTATAAAAACAGTAAAATATAATTATGAGAAACAGTCAAACAATTTAAGTTTAGTCCAAACTTTATCTTACTCTTGCCCCGTTTGTGCCAGTGTACACCTTTTAGATGTTGAATATACACCTGGATATCAAATTTTAAAATTTAACTACAAGGTATAATTATAACCACTTTAACACTTTTTATTCAAATATATTTCTGTATTGATATTTTATCTTTATTTAACATTTATTTAGTGTAATTCACAAAGAAAATGAACAAAAAAGTTCCAACTGATATTTCTGCACAACTCTAATGAGTATTACTTGTTGAATTTGCTAAGAAAAATAGCTAGAGCCAATTGCTAAAAACAGTTGAACATAAGAGATTCTACTTCATCTACATCAATATAAAAGTAAAATGATGGTTTGTTAAAATAGTAGCTACTTGAAGCTTCCTCAGAAGTGAATAAAAGATTTTAAAGAGAAGTTTACAATACTTGGAAACAAATCACTAATTTTGAAATTTTTAAAGCTTCTTTTGACATTGTTTTCATTCCTGTAAATATCTGTATTAAATTACATCAAGTATGTTTAGTCAGGCTTAGTGAGTAGCATAAGCAACTTCCAACTACTTGGATGACTCAAACCTTTTTTCAACCAAAAGTCTGGGAATTTTTGTTCAGTTTCTTTTGAAGTTGTTTTCATTCTGAAAATATTTTTGTATTAAATTACATTAGTCTGAAAGCTATAGGAATTTTCTTCTATGATAAGACATCCGATAGGTTTAGTTAGGCTTAGTAAGTACAGTAAACAATGGAAACTATTCAAACAACTTAAATCCATTTTTCTTAACTATCTTTATTAAATTTCTTCAAATACTGCACACAAGTAAAATAACTATTTGTTTATCGGAAACAAACAATATTTATTAGATATAAATGAACCTTGGCCAAGAATATTGGCCTATACCTAGCTTGACTAACATAAGTGCCATTTCTTAAAGGTTAGGCCCTAAGTTACCAATAAATCTTTGTCAATTCTTTCTCTGTTTATACAGTTTATAGCCAGAATTGATTCAATTATCAAAATAAAGTATAAAAAGAAATATGTCAGTGAATATCAAGCAAGTTGAAACTCACTGGATACATGAATACAACTTTCTGATCAATAATGAAAAAAAAAATTTCCAAAGCAATAGGAAGTGTTTTAATGTTGTTTTTTCAAAATAATATCTCTCAATAAAGTTTTGGAAATTTCACCACCTAAAAAATGGTAAAAATACCAAATTAAATTACATTAATTTTTTTAAAGCAGAAATTAGATACTATTTGGAATTCTTGTAGTAAGTTTCATTTAATTTGGTTAAGTATTTCCACTGTGAAAAAGAAAAAAATAGAGGATATCAATGACACACTATCCAGTTCAAAAAGGATTAATCTTTAATATAAAAAAATGTGTGTGTGTAATATTACGAGCTACTATTAGCCCATCCGAGTTTCTTCCCTCTGGACCACAGCCATGCATTTGTTCTTGGTTTCACATATATTGAATTAAAGGATACATTTATTTATCTATCTGAGGTCAAACCAGTTTGCTTAAATTAACCCTATTTTTTATGACAAATATTACATACATTTCATACCTCATCTTAGAGTTATATTATTAACAGATTTGCAGTTCTACTTCTGTAAATACTCTTAAATGTTTAGTGAAGGTTATGAAAGCAGGTAAATTTTAACAGATTTGACATGCAAAAACTAACTAGGTCTGAACTAAATTCCATTGGGTGAAACTTTTTTTACCTTGTCAAACACCAACAAATTATTAATACCAAAGTACATATAGCTTGGAGTAAACAGCAATCACCTTAATAAACGGGTACATTTTATGATGAAAAATTAATTTAAACATTACTTGTTACTTGTACCTTAAATCTTTATGTAAGCATTTACAATATAAAGTATAGATAGTCTATTTTACAAGGCAGTATTACAATTTTACTTTAAATAAACAGCATAATTTTTCAATTGATCACAGAATTTGGAATATAAAATACTTTTATGTCATTAGAAACTCTGTGTGTACATGCAACGATCATCAATATACATTTTTACCCCCCATATTTACTTAACAGAAACAAATTTGACCTGCATAACACCCCATTCTTCAGCATGACCTAAATTGTTCTTATCACATTAGATAAACAAGTTATGCTTATGTAGTCTCTACTATATCCTGATACGTTTACATTGATATCACAACTGTTTTTATTAATACAAAAAATAATGTTATTTAAATTTCTCTGAGCAACATAAGCCCTAATATATAACACAGGAAACATATTATTGTTAAACAAATCCCATGTCATTTTTGTTTTGACTTACTTTAAAAGTATGCAGTGATGTTCCATGAAAGGCATCTATTAGGTGAAGGGCTTGACCATTAGTAGAGATAAGAAGAGATTTACCATCTGGACTAAACTTTAGCCCAGTCCACTCGCAATCCTTATTGTGAGGTACTTTGAATGTTGTAAAAGGACCCTTAAAAAAATTATAATCTCAGTTTGAGGAAATGTAAAGTGGTACACTATTAATACGAGTTTTTGCCACATTGTTAATGAGTGAGCAAGTAAAATAGTTCAGCATCATATTTACTGGTATTATTATTATTAAATACAGTGATGAAAAAATACTGACACATGGCTAAAATTACAAGGTCAACGTTTACGAGAATGCCATGAGAAAAAATATCCCAGTGAAAATACCGGAATAACTATTTTAATTACATAAATACTTTAAAACAGATTTATGTACAAGTTGGTAAGAATTCCCTAAGAAAAGGATACTAATATGATGCATACTAAGAGTAGAATTACTGCAAATAATCAACATTGCTACACAGCACTTTTAATAATGAACTAAAACTCGTTTAATTAGAAAAACACTTTGAAACAGCAAATACATTTAACCACCAATATTTACGTATATATATATATATATATATGAAATATTAAGAACAGCTCTGCATAAAAAATATATGGTTCCTGATTTTTCTCAACATAAATTTTAATGAAAAACAAATAATCCCTAAAACACTAGATACATAATAAGAAAAATTTTGTTTAAGTAATTATTTTCTTCATAATCATGTATGCATTTTAGAGAACTTACTATTTACTAGAACCATTTTGCTCCTCTAAAGGAAGCAATAACAGGGGTAATTACTTTCAACAGTCATGCTGACAAACCCTATCATTATAAAATGACTTACAGTAAAACATGTTTTAAGGACAATTCTTCAAACTAACCTTATCAAATGACCTTAAGTCATAAAGTTTCACACCTTCACCAGTTACACCAACAGCAAATATAAGGCCTTCAGGATCAAAGTTTGCTACTGGTTGTCCTGATAGATGCATCAAACCCTAAAACATACAAAGTATTTTTACTTTCAATATTTATACTATGTATTCCTAAATATCCACAAATACAACCTTTATATTACAAAGCAAACACAAAATATTTACTTTTTCTCAAACTATTCCTAGGTAACTCTCAATTTCAACATCCTTTTAATGTTTTTATCAAACTCCAAAATATATTTAACAAATCGTTCAAATGCTATATGCTTGTGGAGTGAACACACACAACAGCCTAACGATACATTCATCTACACCAGTAGACAATTATTTTAAAATCCAACTATCTCAAAAACATATTACATTAAAACCATCGTGAATGAAAATTCAGTCCATACTAGTTTCACTACTGTACTTATTTTCAAACAGTCTTAAACCTTCAAACTGTTAATGCAACTATAATATTTTACCACAATATTTTTGGATAACAAAATAGATATTTCTCATGAATAATTTTAGTATTTATAAAACTGAGTATTATATAACAATACTCAGTTTTATAAATATTTCAGAAAGATAAGTCACATGAGGTTCTTCATTTAATTTTATCATCACCACAGTTTCTGTAATATTGTAAGTGGAATTTTTTTTGTTAACATGCATCTAAGAAACATTTCAAATACATATGAACATACTGTTGCTTTTTAATCAATAAATTGAAACAAATAGTATTTTGATAGAATACTTCAACTGAAAAATCTCTCTTGCCAATCACAGCATGAAAACTGTACAAGCTCAATCACTGCAACAATTAACATATGTAGAAATATCTTCCAGAATCAACATTGGTATAACAGTTTTTAAAGTAAAATATACAACAATTTACTTACAGTTAACAATGGTTCAACACCTTATAAAACCAGTCAATGCAACAACTAATACATACTAGTATTTTATAAAGTCAATACTGGTATAATACCTGACGAACTTATTTAATGCAACAACTGACATGAACAAATATCTAAAAAAAATCAGGAGTGGTACAATACCTGGCAATTCGGAGAGCGCAAATCCCATAAACGAACAGACCTGTCCTGAGATCCTGAGAGAAACGTATCATCCACTGGTGACATACAGAGTGTAACTACCCTAAACAAAGAAAAAATACAAAATATATCAAACTTTTTCTAAAACACCAAGTTCAAGAACTAGTATAAAGATAACTACAATTAACAAAGAAACTTATATATTAGTAATTATTCAGCTTGTTTGAATCACTGAACACATTTTCTTGTAAGAAAGATGGTAACAGTGATACAGTTAAGTACATTAAAATATTATACAGGAGAAAAAAAAAATCTGGTAAAAACTCCCGAAAAACCAAGTGCTACATCTGCAGTAATATGAAATTAAGGATAGTCATTGACTAAAAGTTGTATCTCAATCAATTAGATAAACTTGTTGATCTGGAAACAAATATCCTGATCTGTTAAAGGACAACAGTAACAAGAAAGCAAAACGTATCATATTATCTGACATAATACTATTCTATCAAGGTTAGTAAAAGACTGAAAAACATTTCTAAATAGAACAGTAGCTGTAAAATAGTTTGCATATGTTCTGTAGGTTGTATATCAGAACCAACATTTATACTTGTTTTATCTGAATCACATTTTTGTATTAATTAAAAAAAAAAAGATATGGATTAAGAAGCAACTAAATCTCTTGTATCACACTGGCATTCTTTATATATGTAGTAATCACTCCCTAAGAGTTAAAAGTTATTAACTTTAATGGTAAGTTGTAAACAAATGTAATGCAACAACTTTTATTTATGATCAATTTATTTTTAATATATCTAGTACATTTATTTTTTTGTATGACCTATCAAGGTTTTTTGTAATATATATTTAGATCACATCTATGTCCAATATTATCTTTTTTTTTTGCTAAATTGTTTTCTGACTGAAATTACTATGAAAAAACATATGCTCTTCAACATTCTATAAATACTTTTGGATTTATTTGAAATATACACATTTTTTATCCATATTTACATATAAAAAAGTTTCAAATATGATTTAACTTCCCTTATAATTACTATTATTTTTAATAAATGTAAAATACTTACTTTTTGGTATGACCTGGAAAATATCTAAGATACTTGTTATCATGAAGGGAAAGGTAACGAATGGTGTCTGAAATGGGAAACATTTGGTCATATGTATATATTATGTAGATGATTTCATATACATCACACAACAGGTCATCTATGATACCTAATTGTGAAAAATTAATACAAAAAACTACAAGCAGCAAAAAAATTAAGTGATAAACATGTCTTATCTATGTAACTGAAAAGTCACTTCATTTCCTCAAAAACTTAAAAAGATTCTTATCACAGTACTTAAACAAATGTGATTTTAAAATATATACTTCATATCCACAACTGATTCTTCTATCAAAATAAATATATCTAAGAACTACATGTAATCACAAACTTAATGGTGGTGCACAGTGCATTAATAATTACATATTGGCTATTTAACTTCAAAGTGAGCAAGGCCTACACTTGCAACAGTTCACTCATTAGTAAGCATGCTAGAAAATGTCATTAAAACAAACGTTTATTTCACAAGTTCATCACTAACATTTCAGCCATAATTGTTCAGACACTAAGATATTGTTATTTTAGCACAAAGCTATACAATGGGCTATTTATGCTTTGTCTGTCACAGAGAACATGAACTAAGTAACAATAGTTTAGATTCAAAAGAACAAATATACCAAGTGCTACAGGCAGGTATAAAATACCACCTAAAAATAAATATAAATACATACGATTTGTATCTTATGTATTATATTAATTTATACAGCCTTATATCTCAAAAGAATGCTCTAATAACATTTAAAAGAAACAAACACACAATTGTTTTAAAATTTTACACTGCATTTATTGTATTGCCACCAACACACTTTTTACCAATTTAGAGAACAAACATAAATATGCATGGATTTAAAGAAAAAATATCTATCCGTCTATTTATATGAACATTCATGAAAACTTGAGCCACTTAAGTAAGCTAAGGATATCTAATTTTTCAGCATATTTGATAAATAAACTCAATCACAGATTTAAGGCTAAGCATATAATTATAGAATAAGTGAATATAACTTCTATATAAAGTAAGTCAACAAACCTTAAATATTAATGTAACATATTTCAATTTATCAAAATGCTTTTTTAAAGTTTAAAACATGACTTGGAAACAGTAGAAAAGCAAATTCCCTAAGACTGCAGGTCTTTCACTAGCATGAGAATTAAAAGTGATGCCACTAATATTCTGATTAACATCAGTTATCAAGACATGGTGCAAATGTTAGGTATTTTGAAGGAAATTATAAATTTCTGATGTGAATATCATTTGTCTTGGTGTAACCGAGCACTTCTGTATGTGTTTATAATAGAGATGATTAATACAGTGTTCACTATCAACCTTGGTGCTGTATTGGCAGAAAGTAAACAGTTGATCTTAATGATAAACACTTACCATCAACCTTAGTGGAGCTGTGTACTGCTGTGTTGGCAGCATGTGTGTATCGAATAAGATCCACTCCATACTTTTTACTGTTTAGTGTCTTCTTATATCTGTTAAGTAAAAACATTTGCAGAAAATGTTAGGACAACTTTAATAGTTGCAATAAAAAAGTCATTCCAGAATTAAAACCAGATCAGAAACAAGGTGCTTACACAGACTACAGGTTCACTTCTTGAGATATTAATACATATTACAACAAGTATAGTAATCAAACATTTTTATAAGTTTATTATTAACTTAATTCTATACTTATAACTTCAAGTTTGATTTATTTGAACTTACAGAATGATTAATATGCAACTATCCTCAAAACTACATGTTAACGTAAAAGTAATAAATCAAGTACAGAATGAGAAAGAGAACCACCAGTGTAGAGCTACTAATTACCAACACTCATTAGAATATTTCAAAACCAAGTATCAGGGATGAGAGTCCTTCTGGAAAACAAAATACAGTACAACATCACAATTATTTAAATGGATAAACACTAATTACTCCTTAGAGTAGATCAAATATTTGCACAAGTCCCTCAAAAAGTCCACACTGTCAAAAGACTGACACAAACACTTGAAATACTAAACACTATACAAAAGAACAAGTACAGAATGCACCAAGTGTTCGCTATTGGCTTGAAATTGACCAAAATGAAAAGTATTCAAATAAATACACTGTGTGGTCACAAGTAAATAAACACCTAATTTTTTGTCATTTAACTGATTTATGCTAACTAATTTG